CATGTTTTTCCATACTTTTCTCAATATTTATGAAGTAGACATCACAATCAGAAGTATTAAGGGCAGTATGGCAATATTTGATTTCAATTCAACCTAAAAAAAAACATAAAAGACATGCTACGAGAACCCTGGACTTGCGTTATAGTTCGCAATGCATCAAACATGGAGAATCTATTGTTTTTTCCTATATCTTTTTTTTTCTATTCAAAACACTTTTAGACCTTTTTTTCTCAATAAATAGAATGGATGTTATCTTTTGAACGCTCTCCATGAAAATGAATAAAGATTTTTACAGATTTTTCATGATTTCATATGTGCATCACTATTTCAAAGTAAAGGTCAGAACGCACTCTCTGACTCTGATGAGTACTCTTCTTGCATATTAATAAATTACAGATGCTCTGTAAAATATTTTAAAAATCAGTCACCAAATATCAAAACTAGAGTCTTTAAGCTTTCAAACGATATATAGGTTGTCAAGATTACTTTAGGTTCAGACTAAGACATTACTGTTTAAAACATGTAATGGCAAGTGGGCCCAATGGTGGGCCCTTGACAGTTAACAGCTTAATATATTTCATTATGATTTCAAATTCAAATTTAACCACTGCCATACAATGTATATAACTTATAGTTGTGTCTGCCTATTGTAGCCATTTGCAACTGTGTATTTTGATATTTCTTACTTTTGTTCACTTAAAGCCTGTTTTGTTTGTACCTTTTTTGATTTTTCTATTAAACAAAAAATATATATATTAAGAACCAAATATATAAATACCTATTTTTTCAAAGAAAAATATTTATTTCAGTGCACTCTTGTTTAGTGCTACCTTGACTCTTGGTCCTTACTTTTTTGTTTGATTTGATAATGTAAAAAAAAATTTTTTAAATAAAAAATAAATAAGGGCGAGATTACCAGAGGTTCCGTATTTAGATGAATAATGTGATGCATTTAACATATACACACCAGAACTCTTCACGGCAAATATTTCTTAGTGTGATTTGTTTTTGGACTTGTATCTGGGACCAGTATTTATTTACAATATTCATGTTACTTGTAAATAAACATTACAAATGAAAGTGCTGAAAATCGTGAGTAAAAAGTGACTAAATTCACCTCATATTAATTTTTCTCTGCTGTCTCTTATATATGTCGTTGTTTGCTGTACTCTTTTTATATTTTAAAGAATATATTTCAGTCATTGTAATGTTTCTTTTTTTAAAGAATTATATCACTTTAAGAATTACTATTGAGAATTGTTTTCTGTAAAATTTGTTGTCCATGTTTGTCATTTTTATTAGTTTTTTTCTAAACACGTCCTTATTTATTCATTTTTATTGTTTTAGTGCAGTACATCAATCATTAAAAAATTAAAATAAGAAATGTTACCTTGGCAACTAGCTAAAATAAAGTGTACATTTTCATATTTTGAGTTAAAATTGTATTTTCTTCACTATAAGAAAACATCCAAACTAAGGGGTGATCAACACCAGCATATCGTTTATTGTTTTTCTCCAAAAGGGTGTACAAAAATGAGTGATGGAGTAATACACTTTGCGTACATTTATCTCCTCTCACTCAACGCATGCGGACAGAGTCGACAGCATTTAAAAATAATCTTTTGCAACCTTAAATATCCATGCATTTACAAAGACACACTCACACATTTCAAGAACTACAAATCCATCAGAAAAGAGCAAAGAAGAGCGTACCTTTTTCCTATTTGTTCTGTAGTTTATAAAAGACAGAGAGCGTTTGCAGGATATTGTCATTTGTACCTTGGCGCACTGCGTGCAAACACAACTAACAATTGGCGTAAACACAGTGATTTGTCTGAAAAGTTTGCTCCAAAATTAAAAGCACATTTCTACAGAAAAGAAAATGCATGGGAAAGAAGACCAAATCATTTACAGAGAGAACGTTGATTATGAAATTTTAAAAAGCTGATGATTTGGGGGGGAAAGCTCATAGGAAGCTGAAAACAAAGTGTTCTTAAAAATTATTAAACGCAAAAAAAATGCAACTAAAACGATAAGACTTAATATGAAAATATTATTTCTGTTCATGCCAAGAGCTTTCGATAATTCATCTAAACCTCGCAATGCATTTCAATTTCACAGTCATCTTAAATATATACACACACAGGGACCTTTGTGGCGTTCAAGATGTTGAAAATATTTGGATGATTTTCAATGGCTTAGCAAGTCTAAATGGAGAATCTCCTCAAACGTACAGACAAAAGGCCATTGCACTGGAAGGCAGACGAGACATTTGCAAACACAACAAGCCATTATCATGGCCCTAAAACTAAAGGCAAAACGATCTACAGACCACTTCCTTATGGCATTTAACAAATACAGGCTTATCAGAACAGCTTTACCATGTTACACTAGAAAACCAAAAAAGCAACAGTATTAAAACACAGAGGCATTTCATTCATTAAAAGAAACAACATGATGGCATTAACGATGTTTGCACACAAATACATGAACCTCTGGAGAGGTCACAGCTTATGGCCACAGTGATAATTCACAAGTCACAGTTTCACACTGACCTGTGCATATAAAACCTGGGATGGAAGTGTTCATTTAGATGTACAGCACCCCCTTCCTGCTCAAACCCCAACTGCTGACTGTTTGTTGATTTAGATTGTAAAAATGATTTATTTAGTGAACAACAGCTTTTAACAATGAACACTAGGGGTAGAGGTCTGCATTCCCACGGCTCTCAACCCGACCGGATTTTTTGCGCCGCGGGATTAAATTCCCGAATAAAACGCGGTAGCGGTCGGTAACTCTGGTGTAATTTGAACGGGAGCGGGCAGTCTATCAATACCCCATTCCCGACGTCCATTTAGAACAGCATATCTGCGCTTTATTCTTGACCACCGGTACAGCTTGCGCTCGGGATGCACGCGCTGCACGCATGCTTTAAACGTCACGCGTTTTATTTGCGTGGTCTGTGCCAGCATGTGCATAATGATGCTCAGAGCAGGCTGTACCGGTGGTAAATAAAAGATGTCGTATTTATTTATTTTTCTCTGCCACACTTTTCCTACTGTGTTAACAGAAAAATGTCAAACGAATTTAGTATTTTGACAAGACGAATAAAAATAGCTAATGGGCTATTTTTGTACAAGGGAGAAAATTATTCTAAGCAGACAGCAGGTGAACAAAGAGTGAATGGTGCGAAGCATCATAAATGTCATTTCCTCTGAGACCTAGTTCCCTGTGAATATCTTAATTTTGTTGTACACACTTGGTCCCATGCAGCAAGGCATAAGTACAGTACAGTGCATCACAGTACATTCACTCAGCTTAGTGGTACTTATGTGCAAATGCCTTTACAAGAAATCACTGAGCAACATAAAAAAAACACGATGTGCAGTCTGCTGAAAAACATTAAATGTAACTAAAATAAGATATACAAGGAATATTTATGTTTGATAAAATGAGCATAGATATCACTAGATGGCATCAATAGATGGCAAAGAATAACCAACATTAGATCAAATAAGGAATATTATCCAAAACACTAGAGGGCGCCAGAAATGATGTCTGATATAAGATTGTCTAAATTTCAGCAAGTCTAAATCTTAATTTGTAATCAAATTAATTTTATAGTGGTAAATATTCAGTAAAGGTAAATATTATCTGAGCAAATATTGTGTTTACAACTACATTTGGTAAAAGATACTCATGCTTAATAAGAATGATATTGTCTGATCGGATCACAGATTTGACAGGATCTGTCAAATACCAATTCTTAATGTCAAAAGAAGATAAAACGAGGATGAAAAAGAATGAAAAGTAAGGGGGATGTAAACTCAAGTGAGTTCTTTACAGTACAGTGTACCCTGTAGATTCACAGATAAAATACCCTGCGCCAGCAAAGCAGACAAAATAATAAAAAAAAGACAGTTTTCCCATTTTAAGGAACGCTGTTAAGCCATTTAGTTTGAAAACAGTACAGATTGCTGTAACTGAAGTGAGGGACAAAACAGTTAAGTTCACTATGTACATAAAAGATTGCTGAATAATCTTGATGCATCAACCCAGAATCTTTACCTGAGTGTATAATCTAAACCATCTTGAAACCTTTCACGACAGAAAACCAACGAAACCAACTGATACTAGTACTGACAAACAGGATCGTAATGACGCTAATAAGTGAATCATCCCACCTATAGGGACACAAAGATTTTGGTCACAATCAACTAACTGTTAACTCCACAACACTACAAAAAAAAATCATCACAAACACAAAATGACATTTTCCAAAGCTAAATAAAAATGAAAACTAAGCAGAGAATGAAGGGTGGGAGGACAAAAAAATTAAATGAACAACAAACAAAAGGGAAGCTAATCAACCCTATCTCATGGTGGTATATCTGTGATTGTGTTGTGATATCATGAGAAGCCTGGATCAACTGCTTGTGTGCTTGAAATGTGTGTGTGTGTGTGTGTGTGTGTGTGTGTATTGATGTGGGCAGAGTATGTAAAGGGTCATCATCATTGGCTAGGGAGGGGAAAGGTGCTTTGGAAATCACTGAGGATTATGCTGTCTTGGTGATGCTCTCTTCATCCTTGGAGGCCCAGAGCTCCTTGTGCTGCTTGCGCCCGAAGCCCTCGTCATAGTTCCCTTTACTCTTGAAGAGCTGCTGGAAGTGTGGTTTGCAGTAGAACTCCCCCTGCAGCGCTGCATAGGACCCCAGACTGCAGAAGCCAAGGGATAATGTTAGAAATACATTAAAAAGATAATAAATGTTACTGCATTAAATTGACAATCGAGTGAAGTTTTTTGAAACATTATAAATGTCCTTACTATTCCAAATAAATGCTGTTCTTTTGAACATTCTATTCATAAAAGCACCATGAATAAAAGTATAATTTTCCTCAAATCAGTATATCAGAATGATTTCTGAAGGATCATGTGACACTGAAAACTGGAGTAACGGTTGCTGAAAATTCAGCTTTGCAATCACAGGAATACATTGCTTTTTAAAATATATATTCAAATAGAGAACAGTTATTTTAAATGATAATAATATTCCACAATATTACTGTTTGTACTGAATTTTTGATCAGATACATGCACCCTTGGAGAGCAAAAGGATTTCTTACAAAAGAAGACTTCAGTTTACAACCCATGTTTAACTGCTCTAGTTTTTGGCGTTTTCTCAGGCTGCGCTGGTAAGGAAGTGACTAACCTGAGTTTGGTGTTGCAATGCTTGCAGCAGAAGCACGTGTTGTGGAAGATGAGGTTGTTGGCCACCAATCTCTCCATCGGATACACGGTTTTCTCACATGATGCACACGTCTCCTTCTGCGTCTTAAAACTGAAAGACTGGTAGGAAACGCAAGCAAAGACATTGGTTTTCAATCAAATAACAGATCAAAGTAGCACTAAATGACTTCAGAATATTGACGTGCACTGACTGCATGCGACAAAAACTTATATTAACTTACTTTAATTAGTTTTGAAGCTTTATTTGTCCTTATAAGCATATATCCTTAGTACAAATCTTACAGTCATATTCAGGAGAAGTACAAAATCTAATACCATTAAATATTTTCAACTTAAATAATAATGCATTATTCAAATGCATTTCATCTTTTATTTATGAAATGTAGGGATGCACCGAATGTTCGGTAACCGAAATTATTCGGCCGAAAATACCAAAAAAAGCTCTTTCGGTGTTCGGCCGAATAAGCGAAAAAGACCGAATAAACTGTACCGAACAATGACGTGACGCGATCAAATAGCAACCAGCGTAGAGTGAGAGGCGCAATGCAACAAACATGTCAGCAGTGTGGAAGCATTTAAAACGGTCCGAGAAAGATGCAAAAATCATTACAAGCACCGACAGCAAGAGACTGTTTAATATTAATACTGCATCGCATGTCTTCGATGAGAAGAGGAAGGGGTGATTGTTGCTGGTTACTGTATGATAACTGAAATTGCGAAATGGCCTTAAACAATTAGTAAATAAACTGCAGAACGTTATGTTTTCTAATACACGCACGCATTGCATTCTGACAGCGCTGCATGAACTCGCGGTGCTATCTGCTCGTTAGCCAGGGTTCAAAGTCCAAACCGCGAGGGAAATCTGCGCTGTAACAGATTTTTTTACAAGGCATGTGACAATGCGATACGTGCGACTTATTCGTAGTGAGACTCATTTATAAATCTGCTGTTGTCGACAAAAAGAAGCATTAAGGTCTTCCTGCGTGTTTCCGCCAAAATAAAAGTTGAGAAAAAGCAATAACTCCATAAACAATCATAAATGTTAGTATTGTAATTTTACTGTTGTTCTGTAAAATAAAAAAAAAAGTAAGACAATAATAATGATAATAATTTCAACAGCTCTGTTAATACATTTATTATAACATTCACACATAGTGTTCAAATTGGGATCTGTAATATTTTCTAATGTTTTAAAAGAAGGTTCTTCTGCTCAGCAAGGCTGCTTTTAATTGTACAGTTAAAAATACATGCCTGATTCAAGAAGGGGGTCTGATGGCCAAAAAAATATTATTTTACTAACTTATTAATTTTAAGTTAAATTGTGCTTTGTTGATATAATAATGTCTGCTAGAATGTTAAATTATGTTCAGTGTTAAATACTTTTAAATTGTTGTTTTGTAATATATTTTTTTCTTTGAAAAGCAAGACAAAACAGTAAAAAGCACATTTTGGCTATTTAATTTGTGCAGTGGTGAAAATAATTGGCAAAATACATGGGGGGGAAAAAACTCGAAAAACCTTGTTTGGTATTCGGCCAAGAATTTTCATTCCGGTGCATCCCTAATGAAATGTATTATAAAATAATATGTATAAGATGATGAATGGTTTTGAACATTGAATCATGTTCAAAACCCCATGGAGGAAGAAAACCGATTGCTTTACTTCACAAAACTAGTACCAGAGGGAGTGTTGGGTATGATTAGGGCTGCACGATTAATCGAATGCGATTGTCATGTGCATTTTGATAGTAATGCCGGTTCTGTAATCAGTCGCACAGATTAAATTTCGGGAGCATATGCGACCAAAATGGTCGCAATTTCGAGCCTTGTTATATTAATCTATATACATATTCATTATATTAATAAACTGTATATTTAATTTGTTATTTTAATAGCATCTTAATATATTAAGCCATATTAAGTGTTTATGTTTTTCTACAGGAGGAAAACGCTTAACGAGAGACTTTGCGCATTGTCTGATCACAGAACCCGTGCTTCACTGAAAGATACGCATGACAATCGCAGCTTCTGTCGAATCGCGATCTCGATTCCATTTCGATTTATCGTGCAACCCTAGGTATGATTAAGAAAAGACAAGAAGGATGTGAACATAAAGCAACATACCTTAGAACGCTGAACGGGCTTGTCATCAGACGTGTTCCTGTTGTCCTGGAAACAAAAAAAAGAAAGAAAGAAAATGAAGCCAGTGGTCCTAAGACAGGTTACTCATGGCAACACTTTTTCAGACAGAGCCTTGTGAACACCACAGCATAATCCCGCCATCATCCATCCACCACCACTACTGTGCTTTTAACCTGACACACTCCAAAATTGTTCCTGCAGTCCCTCCTATATCCCTCCATCTGGCCGTATGCTCTGTGTACCCACACGCACAAATGCATGAAGAGGGATCAACAAAGACTAAGCCCGGTGAGTGTTTCTAACTCGATCACCCTTTGAAATAAAGACCCTGCTCACACACTCTTTCGGTTTCAGCCAGACTAAAGCTACAATATGACATTACATAACACAAGCCATGTCCCACGATCAACTCTACGCCAAATATTCGAAACAGCTGCCAGCCTGAACAGGCCACCAAATCACACACAGGAGAGATTGGGAACTTGAGAACCAAGTGTTAATGACAGGGCCTGGGTTTGGGACACAGCTGCACAACACTGAAGCAGCAACAAAAGACTCGGAAAACAGACCCACAGAGTGTCTAAAATGCTTTTAATGCAGTCCAGTATAAGAATCATCTGCTGAGTTGACAGGTTTTTATGTAACTGCTCAGGTCTATCAGAAAGCCAAGAGCAGATCTCCACCTCCACTCCAGCATCGATACTTGTCTCTTTCGTGGAAATCTAGAGCTTGAATCGCATACAGATCTGCTGGTATAACGGCTCACACTCAGACCCACTGTTGTTGTATCTCTAGTTAAAAAAGAAAAGAAAAGTTTATTTGTTTGGCTCAGACAGGCAGCGCAAGTATCAGTAATGACCATTATATCACATCAGACATTCAATAACACCACTTTTCACAAATTACAGCCATTATCGAGAGGGACTTCATGCTCTGACTCACATACTATCAAAGCTCGGAAATGAGATTACAACCTCTCAGTCTCGACATGATAATATTTGCTTAAAAACAGAATCAGACAAGAACATTATCGGTATCAGATACACTGTAAAAAATGATTGAGATTTTAACAGTAAGACTGTAAAAATGCTACAGTAAAAACCTGTTAACTGGTTAAGTTTTCATACTATATAAGGTGAATAACTGTAATTACATTTAATGTAATTTAACAGTAAAATACTTGTTTTATACTGGTTTTTGGAAGTGAAAAAGAACAAGTCATTGTATAATTAACAGTGAAAAACCATAAATTGACATTCCCAGAATTCCCTGCTTCACATTTGATGTTTTTTCATTGAAATATGTTTCTTATTCTTTTTTTTCTTATCAGTTGCGTACATTAGGGTTTTATCTTACATCTAATGTTGTTAAATTAATGTTTATTGCATTATTTTAGTATCGTGTGGTACCATGATTGTGTTTAGTGTTCGTGTGAATGACACTACGCACCTTCCATATTAGTATTTACCAGAGGTGGGACCAAGTCATTGTTTAGCAAGTCACAAGTAAGTCTCGAGTCTTTGCATTCAAGTCTTGAGTCAAGTCCCGAGTCAAGACAGACAAGTCCCAAGTCAAGTCCCGAGTCAAGACAGGCAAGTCCAAGTCGAGCTGCAAGTCCTCAGCTTTAAGATTCAAGTCTTAAACAAGTCATTAGTGCTTTTTGCCCAAATTAGTGTCTCAGTATTAATTACCATATCAAATTCATAGTAATTTATATCAGGAAGGCAGGCAGTTAAAGATCCATCCATGCTGTATATATAGGTCCGGGTCACTAAAGACCCGAATACTATGTAATGATTGGCGAAACAGTCATGCATTTAAGGGTTAATGGGGGTTTAAAAAAAAATGCACATGCAATTCAAATATGTAACTGATCGAACAAAAACAGTGGCGATCTGACAAAAACAGGTCTCAGAGAAGTGTTTATTACAAATAAAAATGAAAATGAAAGCACATCGAGTTGGCAGAGTGCGAGGGTCGCGG